ATAAAAAATAAAAAATAAAAAGTAAAGAAGTCTGATTTTTTTTAAATCACCTAAGGCACCTAAGGCAGAGTGTTTGAGAAACCATTCTAGTGACTCAATAAAGTTAATTTGCTATTTTTCTTCTGCCTCTGGAAGTCAAAAACTTTCTAGAGCAGATTTTTTCTAGATCACTAAGGCAGATTTTTCTAAGGCATTTAGTTTCTTCTTATGATAATATATTTTTGAATAATACTTATCTGCATATAAATTACATATTCTATATATCAACGCAGTGGCTTTTCTATACTGTTTGCAAAGGTTTTGCTGACGCCTTTTCTAATAGATTTTGCATCCTTCTTGTCAATTACAAACCCGCCCATATACGTTCCCTTCGTTAGAAATATATTGGCAGATAAATTCGACTCTCATTAAATATCTCTTAAATTTCTATAATTATTTTTTATTTAAACTTTTTTCCCAGAACAATATATCTTGTATTTAGGATATAGTATACCTTTTAAAAGTTATCTAAAAATACCATGACTCAATCCGAGCTTTCAGAGAATTTGAACAGCCCCGCCCCATACTATTGTGGGTTAAGAGCTTCTGATATAGGTGTATGCTTATATAAAATTCATGATGATAGTATTAAACCAAAGAATTTTCTAGGCACAGACAATGAAGATAGTATTGAAGCCATACTCTCAGACCGTAAAGGCTATTCATTGCACAAATTTATTGGTGGCGATGAGCCACTTCATCCTATCATAGATTTTGATTTGCCAATAGAAACACTAAATGCTATTACTCCTAAAGTTTCATGTAAAGAAGCCTGTAAAGCTATTCAAATAGCCTTTAGAGATGTTTGTCTAGAAATACATCTGAAGTGGGATAAAAAAGTATAACCATCGCTACTAGTAGTGATGCAAAAAAAATATCTCTCCACATCTCTACTACTGGTATGAGGCTTAAGAACATTGTTCAGGTCGCAGTATTCACTGAACTTGTTTACAAAAAACTCTAGGTAGGATTACAGAAGAAAAGTATTATTGATAATATTGCAAATAAAAGGTCTTTCTCCTTGCGGATGCTTGGATTACCCAAGTATAGGGAAGAAACAAAAAAACATATTCGTGTAAAAAGAGCTGTCTATCCAAAAGATAGAACTATCTTTAACTTCATGATCCGCCCACCCAGTGATGAATTAAAAGTCATTGACAGTCCTCTATTATGTGTCCCAAAACTGGAAGTGGAAAGATGCCAAAAGAGAAATAATAATACAGATGGTGAAAGCGCTTAGGCTGAATTTGATTTTGTGGAAATATTACTCAGAGAAAATTTTATCAAAGGGTTTACTCTCTCATTCCCTTTAGATAATACTTCTGATTTGTTCCCTTTATCACGCAACTCTCTATCACACTGCCTAATATGTGATCAGGAGCATACAAATGAAAATGCATAAATTATATGAAATAAAAAATCATACAGATTTTATTGTCATCATGCCAATCAGAATCGAGAACCTGGAACAAGAAATCCTTCAATAAAACTTATTATTAGTGAAACTGCCTTGGATCGAAAACAAAAGCTTCCAAGTCCTATAAAATTAAACCAATCCAGAATTTCAGATTCCAATAATCACTTCGTATAGGGTGACCTAATTGATATATGCTCATTGGGGGAAAAAGTTTCTTGCAATGCTGTATATGAAGCAATCCAAGCAACAATAGCATGTATCCAGACTAATATAAAATTGTGGGTATTAAAACTTGAGGATTCTGATGATAGTCTTTTCTTTAAAATGTCACCTAAACTAGATATTGTCAAATATGAAATTAGTTTAGTTGAACTAGGGAGAGAAGTGGTGAAATTAACAAATCTAATAGATCGGGCAGTCACAAAAGGTCTAATTCGATATCGAGGCATTGATTTTCTCTTTTACTTACCACTTTGTTTCACACTGAAAACAAAGTTTTTTAACCTCTTTTTGGGCTTCAAAGCTTCTGTTAATGAAATTAATTCCTCTATCATCGATCCGATTATCTGACATATAGAAAATGTCTGATGTAGTGGGAATAAAGTTCTTTTAGAATATGTTCTCAATTGGTTCTCATATCTTGTACAGTATCCTGAGAAAAAACCTGGTACAGTCTTAGTATTGCGCTCCCCTCCACGTTTGGAAAAAAATATTTTAACAGACTTTATAGGAAAGAAAGTATTGGGGCCAGAATTATTCTTTGCAACATCGGATCTTGGAAAAGTATTAGAAAGATTTAATAGCTATATACAAGTATGAAAACTCATTCTTTTAAATAAAGCTGGGATGGCTTCTGGGGAATAGCATAAGGCAAATGATCACTTAAAATCACTTATTATTGAACTATATGTGATGATAGAGTATAAAGGACTTGAGCCTAAGACAATTAAAGACTTTGCCGGGTATATGGTTTTAAGCAATCATGATACACCACTTCATGTTGAAATAGGTGATGAACGTATTGTATATCTAGATGTATCATCTTGTTATAAAGGAAATATAGAATATTTTAAGCGTTTAGGAAAAATTTTAGATAATTTAAAAACAACTGATATTTTTATGAATTATTTATTAAAATGAGACCTCTCAGATTGGATACCACAAAATATTCCAAATACAAAAATGAGAGTAAAAACAATGCGAAACTAACTCCCTAATCCTATTCGATTCATTATCAATTATGTTTTCTCACGGACTGAAGGAATGATTGATAAACTAAACTGTGTGGAATTATATCAAGAATATCTTGAATGGTGTGGAAAAAATGGAGAGAAACCATTTAGTAGTGCTATTCTTGAAAAGAAGTCTTCACAAATTAGTATTAATAGAACACGTTTGCAGAATAATGGAAAAAAAGAATACCATTATATTCTTGATCATACCAAAATCATAGCTAAGCTCCATGAGTCTGGCCTAGATGATATCAAAGAATTTTCTGATACACTTCAGCCTGACTTACCGGAAAATGAGATAGCAGACATACCTATATTCAATGTGCCAGAAATTACACTCTCAAAAACAGCCCAGTCTCAACAAGCCGAAGCTCTAGTCGCTTCAACATCTGGGACTTTTGAGAGTTCTGAACCACCCGAAACAGTAAATAAAAAGCCCAAAGATAGTAAGTCACCTGAATCTATTGAGCCTATAAGTGAAGTGCTAGATATATCTCCTAAAAAAACTGATTTTTCAAGCCTATCAATGAAGTATCATTTGCTATACTTTTGACCTGAACTCAGTGTAAAAAGCACCTCAGAAAATGGGCTATCAATCATAGTGAGAACCCAGACGTATTTGTAACCATCACAGAAAAAGACGTTAGATTATCCTGGGAATATCGAGATAGGATGATGTCAGATGCAGATGCCATCGAATTTGCAAAAGAAGATGGTATAGACATAAATGAGATATACATGTCCAGAAGAGAAAGGCTAATAAGTGAAGAAATATATCTCTGTAACCTTGAGGATGCTGGAAAATCCTGGGCATATATTTATGATGATGAGGAGTGACAAAAAAGTATTAGCGTACTTCAAGAGAATGGTTACCTATAGTAGGTTCGACATCGATGAAAAATAGAAAAAAACAATAAGTATACTCCAGGAGAATAGTATACTTTGGTAAAGAGTGAATAAGAAGCCAGTTTATATTCTTTACAACTAGGCGATATAAAATTCTAAAAAATTATTATTTTTATTTTGCTATTTGCTATCTAATATAAGCTGAATTACAAGGCTATATTTTCTCACTCATCTAAACTACTTGCATATTTTAAATCGATATAAACCTTTTTTTAGTCAGAGCGTAGATTATATTATTATTTTTTTGTACACCCATACTTCTGCCTCATCTGATAATTCATTGCATGAAACTTTGTAGAATATTTAGAACAATATTTGGAGCAATACCCTGAATCAGCATCAGTAGGAAATTCATAAACAAGATATGGTCTTTTTTTCATATTTTTTTCATATAATTTCCAGTGCCTTGAACAACCAGTAGTACGAGTACAGACTCCTCCACAAATAGAACTGTCTCTCTTGATATACCAGTAAGTAACACGATCCATATAAGTATATTAGGATATAAAACCCTCTTCACTTTTAATTTTATAATAAAATGTGTATTTAAATTATTTGATATTAAGTTAAGTCATAAATGACTTTTCATACTTATGCTATGGATATATTAGATCATAAATCTCACAAAAAAATCTATAATTCCAAAACTAATTACATGATCATTATAAATAGATCAGCATATAAAAAATTGCTATGTGAAGGCTATATGTATTGGAAAGAGGAAAGTCTCTTGATTCCACCATTCAATTAAATGCCAAAATTGAGAGAATACCTTTATTTTATATCTATTGAAATCGCGGATGATCCAGAAAAAAGTCTACTTACGTTAATTAATGGAAAATTAAGTTTGTTACAGATTTTACTCAAAGTATATAATGATAGTGCTACAAACCAGTTATTAAAAACCAACTGGAATAGTAAAAAAACACAAGAATGGAGAAGTGGTATACTTATAAAATTCCTCCATCACCCAGATTTAGCTTCTTCGAAATATAAAACGGGTGCTTTATATGATGCATTCACCGAGGCAAATGTTTTAGGACCAAAATATATATTAGCTCTAGCACGAGCACTTTATTAAAATGTGATTACAAAATAGGTCTTAGACCTTAAGTTTGTTTATAGCTTTGGAATGAGGGTTTCATAGTTATTTTTTTTGCTTATCTTATCTACCTGCAGATTTCAAATTCTGTAAAACCTATTTCTGGCCAGAGCAGGTGGGTCCTAAAGGGACCACCCATATAAGTTATAATATTTTATCATTCTCTTAACCTAGACAAGAACTGTCTCTAATATTCCTCTTTCTGAAGAAGCATAGCTCTGAGAAAATTTTTCGAATTGAACTTTTTTTCATAATATATAATCTGAATACTACAGATTAATCTAATACTTACCTATATTTTATATACCATTTCATACTTATACTATGAATACATCAGGCCAATTGGCAGAACATAAGACCAAGAGTAAAGTTCACGAAAAAATTTATAATTCTAAATCTGGACGCATGATCACTATAAATGGGTCAATGTATAATAAATTGCTACGTGAAGGCTATATGCATTGAAAAGAAAAAAGGCTTTTGATTCCATCTTTTTATGATTTAATACTATTAAGAGAATGTCTTTCTTCCATGAAATATCATATCAGAAAAATTATATCAGAAAGAAGTTTACTAACGCCGATTAACAAAAAAATAAGTCTACTCCAAATCTTCCTCAAAGAAAGTTTACGCAATGATACTTTATATCAGCTATTAAAATTATGCTGGAAACATAAAGAAACGAAAGCTTGAAGGAATGGCGTACTTATGAAATTTCTCCATCAGCCGAATTTAACCCCTTTGAAGTATAGACCAGGTGCTTTACATGACACATTCATAAAAACAGATGTTTTAGAACAGGAGCATATATTAGCTCTAATCGGTTACTTGACTAAAATATAATTATAATATTCTTTCGAGAAAGATTTATTTGTAGTTTTGGAATGGCAGTTCTGTGACTATGTATCTTTTTTTGCATATCATATTTACCTGTAAATTTTAAATTGATGTAAAACTCCTGGGCAGAGCATAAGTTATATTATTATTTTTCGCTTTCTTTCCAAAGAAGCATAGCTCCGAAAAAAATTTTCAAATTGAACTTTTTTCCTAGAATATATAATCTGAAAACTACAGATTAATCTAACACTCACCCTATATTTTACTTACCACACCATGTCTGCTATTACAACCAAGTTCATCACAGACCACAAACTCACTAATAAGATAAGTCTCGAAGAGCTTAGCCAATATGAGCCAGAAATACTTGAGCTCTTAATAGATGATAAAAAGAAAAGGCATCAGGCTCATAATCGTCTTCTAAATAGATATAAATTTAGCAAAGAGCAAGTATTTGCATTGATTCCTCTCCAGAGAGTTGGACGATACAAAAGTTAAGCGCCGGTCTCAGAGGAATCAGGGTTAGAAGCTGAGGAAGTGAATACATGTCAAGTATCCGATAGTACTTGTATTAAGGAGACTATTAAAGAAACAGCTCAGCATATTATACAAGATAAACTTAGTGAAAAAGATGTAAAAGTAATATCTAGAATTTTAATTGAAACAGCCTCTAACTTCGTCATTACCTTATCCCGTCTCTTTAAGCTTCGAAGAGAATTGTGAACCTTCAATGCCCCAGAAAAAATTATTTCTGCTACATTTAATCCAGAAGTAACCAGATTTCTAATAAAATTCAAAAGGAGCATAGTGATCAATGCAAAGATGAAGGAATTGTTTTTTCAGACCACTTTTCATTAAAATCAGTTACAGAAAGGCTAAATTTGTATGATGTATCTAATATACCTGACAAACAGGCCCTAGCTGATGTAATGATCATGCTCTGTATCCGCCTAGCTAAAATTAAAAACTTGCACATATCTAATAGAGGTGTAACTGGGTATGCAAAAAACCAAGGTCAACAGAATATTCCTCAGATGTTTAGATCACTAGAAAAAAATGAGAAGCGAGCAAGGGAATTGCTTACATGGATTCAGGAAGCAATTTCTTCTGGACAGTTAAGAGATCCCAAAAAGCTTGAATCTACATACTTAAGTACATTTTTAAAAAAAGGAATTTATTTCTGAAACAGAAAGTTGTAAATCACTACTTCCTAGCTCTTTGTGCAAATTAGAATTAGTATTTGCTAGCATAGTGCATAGTCCAAAAAATCTGTCAAAAGCTAACACTTATGCTAGTGAAGCCCTTTGGCATTCACCTGATAACCATTCTTCTCCATCTAAGAGGTATACTATAGTCAATATGCAGAAAAGAGGAGAATCATATAATCAGGCAAAGGAATTCAAGCTTTTCGATGAAAACTGATCACATATAGAAGGTTAGATATCAATTATTAATTTTATTTTTTCGTTTGAAACAATATATATTTTATATATAAAATGATCAGAATAGAAATAACTGATCAAAAGCATCCATCTGATATTGCACAGTCCATGAGGGACCAGATTATCAGATGTACAGAGAAAATAGCCTGGATATCTGGATTAGATGAGCAAAATTCGAAAATGTATAGTGTGCTTTTTAGAGAAATTAGAGCATTAGATAAAAAACTAGATAATTATCATTCCAAATATAACAGCTTAAGAAAAACAGTAATAAGATTAGAAAGAGATATGAAAACCCAAAAAAATGAATTAGAAGATCTGGATGAATGTGTGGATAGAAACACTGTAATCGACTTAATATATGAAATAGTTCTTTCGCTGATTAATGAAAAAGGTAAGAGTTCCTCCTATTCATCAGAGACTTCCGAAGAATCTGATTCGGCTGAGGCATTTGTAGTAAAAACAAAAGCCTTTCCCTATAAGCAATGAAGGAGGCATAACCAAAGAAGGTCAAGAAAGCAAAATCTAGAAGGAATTTAATTTAATTAATCTTTATTTAACTAGTTTGAAGCAGTGATTACTAACCTGCTATTCCAAGTTTTTTTTTTATAAAAAAATTAGGAAATAAAAAATCTATGAAGTGTATACTCCTTCTTTTCTTCACTAATTATTCACTAGATCGATTGGTCAGGAGCTGTGATCATCAGTTTGAAAGATTTTTTGCTGATCCACAATGCATTGTACTTCTGTGCGACAAAAAGTAGATTAGCTAACTTGTTCTAAATATGGGCAATGATTGGTGCTAACTAAATTTTTTACGAAAACTTTATGCAATTGTTGAGGAGTAAAATTTGAAATTAGTGAAAGTCCCTCTCCAGTAAATCTAATTTTTTTTACCCCCATTTTGCTATATTTCTCTAATACCACATCTGGATCATCTTCTAGGGGACCGTGAAATTCCTCAAACTTTCAGAAATATGTTCTTGCATTTTCATTAGCTTCTTCTGCCCTTTCTTGATTAGAATATCCAATAATACCTAGTTTGTTCTGAATTGTTATTATATCCTTTTCCAAACATAAAAGCAAATTATATATTTCTCCAATTGAGATATCTGTAGAAGCTTCATGAGCTTCATTGCTTCTAAGTGCTACTTCTAGAATAGGGTTGCCATTGATCCCAAGTTTACTCTGTATCAGTATTATTTCCTCCACCAAATCTAACAACAATTCATATGAATCAGCAAGTATTTTTTGCCTTCTTGCTTC